TTTTTTGTGATGACGTCATTATTCCGATTAAATTTTTTAACGAGAGTGAGGAGTAACTATTTAGCCAAGTTCTTGTTACATTTGATATACATAGCATATGTAAAAGTGACTAAAAACATACATTTGTTTCCCCTACCCCCATCTTAATTAGCCCAAAATAGGATATTTTATGTCAAAATTTTAAAGTGCTATAAAAAAAATCGCTGAAGCTCTAAGAATGGGGATTTTTTTTCTGAGACACTATATGATATACTGATTCAGAAAAACCAAAAATAAATTTTCCTTTACTTTTTTCCCGCTAATTTCCTACTGCAACCAGGCTAAAACATTTCCAGTGTGCTTGCAAAAGTTTCATGCACTACATTTATATCGGTTTTATGCTCAGTTTTAACACTTTTTGACTTGATTGGTATCGGGCCGTAAAAACAAATGGTTTTCTTGCCAATAATATTGGCTTTGGAGTGGCCTGCGAGCTGTATTTCGCCCCCTGTGCTTTACAGAGAAAGAATTACTGCTCTTGCAAAATAAAACGAAGTAAAATTAATAATCTGTGATTATTAATTTAACAGTGCAATTAACACATAAATAAGTACATATAACAGATTTGAAATTTCAGAGCATGTGTTCTCTTTTAATTTTTTAATATGAAGGCTTAAAATTAAAAATTTTAAATACGACCATAAATAGAAGGGAACACTATTTTGGCTAGGGTTAAACTTTCATTATCATTAACGTAAGATATATCTCTAAATGTTTTTGAGCCGAAATCCGCTCAAAAAGAGTGATTTTTTTTCAATCCTTTAAGAGGAGGGACGTACAGCCCTTTTTGAGCTAAAATCGCTCTTTGAAAAGAGCGATTAATTTTCACTCGCTTACAGTTATTAATGTCTTTTCATCATCCTCATTATTAGGCCAAAAATAGTTGCCGAAGCCAGAACCAAATTGAATTATGCATCAAGTGCTGATGTGAAATTACGCTAGATTATACCATGGAGGAATTAGTTTAATTTATTTAGTCTATTCCCTCCATGATTAATACCACCTTGTTGCAGAGTATTAAGCCAAATTTTGATGAAACAGACATCGGAAAAAATAATAATGGGTGGGAGGTCTCTTGAACCCACAAATGTGAAAACGCCCACAAATGTAATAACAACCATAAATGTAACAACAAACCGCCCACAAATGTCATAATGCCCACAAATGTAACAAACAGCGCCCACAAATGTAATAACGAACATCGCCCACAAGTGATAACGACAACAATTGTAACAACAATGACCTCTTCCATGTAGGAGATAAGACCCAAAAAATGGCCAAGCTGCGCAATTTGTGACACAAGCATGACATTTTGGGCCTCTGATTTATAAGGCGTGCAAACAACAAAAACCGTGAAAGAGTCATTTTCTAGGTAGTTGCCAAATACAACGAGTTCAGCCGAGGGGAAGTGGATGTATATGGTGACGTCATGTATAATTCTGTCGTCTACCAAAAAACATTACACTACACTGTGTGACCAATGTGAATTTAGCAAGGCGAGCAGGCTGAGCTTAGCTTAGTTTTCTCTTGTGCTGCTGCTACCGGCGGGTGGGGGACAATCGAGTCAATTTTCAGACGATTGGCATAAGTAGTAGTATATGGACATTCGTAGGTCTAGGCTACCTCTAACTAAGCCTGGGCAGGCCCATAGCCAGGGGGGTTTATGGTTCGGGCGAACCCCCTCAAATTTTTGAATGAGTCCCACTCGGACGGAATGTCTGTTTTTAACTTACCTAGCATTAAATCAAAATTTAGCACCTAATTCATTATTTGGTCACCCGTTTCTAAATTGTAGCCTGCGATACAATGCTATATTTATAGAATATCTCAGCTTCAGAAGTTCGGAGATTTAAATTGAACGCAACTCCAGCAAACCATCACACACATAAGGATCGCAAATATCGATAAAAACCCGGCTGCCGTCTCAACTTTCACTGGCCTTTGGCTGAATGTTTGTAAGAAATGTACCAACCATTAACAAAACCGGTTGCAGTCTACCTAGAGTAAATGGTGCCACTAAACGAAGCTAAAGTTTTGCGACTTCATCCACCAAATGCAGATAAAGTTTTGCGACTTAATCACCTAATTGTGGATTGTGTTATTAGTAAATTCCATAGCCATACTGTTCATAGCGCACACTAAACTATGTGCTGATGGAGTATTTTGGGGAAATTGACTCGCCTTCTTTCCATCTCAAACGAAATATTATTATTAATAAATCAACATGGTCCATCTCAGCATAGCCAGTCACAAAATTAGGCTAGGAAGTTTGTTTTCAACAGCAGACACACACTACAGAATGGATTGCGTCAAAACGTCGAGTGTTTGTTAATTTTTAGTGATAAAGAATCATGAAACGTCGTAGAATAACTGACTTTTTTTCGTCCGCTGATTGCAAAGAAGAAAACGACAGATATTCCTTTAAGGTGGGTTATTGATTTCAAAATCAAAAGCCTAGCCTAGATGTTGACTAGCTAGGTTCACTCCTCGTTCATTTAGAGACAGAATTATAGTATTATACCCCGACGACAACAAACTAGTGTAGGCCTGGCCTAATACAGTAGGACGTAATACAGGTACATAGGCCTAGGCTTTTGTTGTAAAAGTTGAAGTGCATGTACAAAATGCGCCATATGCCTATATTTTAAAAAAAAACAAAAACATTTTGTTAATTATTATTGGTTGGCCTGGGACCGGGGCAGGCAGGCCAGCTTTACCGTCGAAAGTCCTGGAATTCGACGTTGACGTCAGTGCACATTTACAAAGGCCATTGATTAGAATGAAAATAGACACGCTGAATTTATTTTTTTTCCCTTTTTTTTTATGAAAGATAGAATTTATCGAACATTTATCTATATAAAAATAAGATTAATATTGTAGAAATGTTATTTCTAAAGATGCATATAGGCTAATTCATATTTCATTTGGCAGACAATAAATATTCAGGAAGATATAATAAAAACGATTATTAATTCTAAAATGTGCATCAAATCTCAGCTATTATTAATCGGTATGTAGTCTATTATGTTAAAGTCTTAAAATAATAATTTTGAATTCGGCCTAGTATATAACAAATAATTGTATTAAAGTTTAGGTTCTCATGATATCAGATAACATATTGAATATGATGCTATATTTTGGGCTCTGACTAAATTAAAACGATGGCCCTGTCAGTAGTAATGACAATATTTGTGCTTTTTTTAGCCATGTAGTAAAATAGTACTATTATTTTCAGTGTACAAAATGAGAGTCAAGAAGAAGTAGTAGAAGAAGAGGAATAGCTTTTTTTTTGTTTTATAATAATAAATGTGTTGAGTATATTGATATTGATTATGCGATGAGGTGTTATTTAAACATACCATTTCTCAGAAAATATTTTCTAATTTTATTATATTACCACCTTTTTATTACATAGATCTTTTTCAAAACATAACTGCTTTTATAACATTATATAGACCAATTAAACACAAAAACTGCTCTGGCTTCGGGGACTTCGCCCCCGAACCCCTCCGTGGCCCTTAGGCAGGGCCTTGGACCCCCACGCCCAGAGAACCCCCCCTTGAAATGACCTGGCTACGGGCCTGCTGGGCTAGGTCGGACCAGGAGGACTTTCCAGTAGTCTGGGGCCTAGGCCTAGAGTGTGCGTCTAGCAACCCGCAGCAGTCCGTCTAGGCCTGTGCCTCATTTACGTGAAGTTAGGACTATGCAAAGTCTGTTGTAAAACCCTCACCTGCTAATGAAGAATCTGCACTAAATAGGCGCATAATACATAACATTTATACAATACAAATATACACGACATTGGGAAGTTAATATATTTACTTAAATTACATATATTAATATTCGGTTCCCTTTCTCTTTTTTCTGGAATATAGCCAGCAATATTGTTTCAAAGCAGTGAACACTAAAAAAAACTAAAAAGCTGAAGACTTCAGCAGTCAGGTTGTAAAATTTTAATTTACTGTATTAGGCCCATTTTCTCTTCCAGTAAGATAATTCGTTCATAGGATTAAGATTAGATACAGGGGTGGCACCAGAATTTGCCCGGGGTCCAAGGTCCCCGACAAAAAAGTGGGCTGGTCGGGCGTCCCTCAATATCCGTTGAAAGTGTTCCACGGGGCTCCCCCCCCCCACTTCCCTGGAAGAAAAAAATTTTGGTTTGAAAGGATTACTTAGTTGATTTTGGTGTCTACTAATATGTAGAAAATACATTATATTATTTTCCCTGACGAATTGTGGTTTTTCTCCCTGACAGAGGGTGGGAGACAAGCCAGGCCTCCCCGAAAGGAGGTAAAAAAATTAAAAAATAAGGAAAAAAAAAGAGAGAAAAAGAAAAAAATTATAGCCCAGAATGCCTCAAATGTTATGTTCGGGCGTCTAGAACACAAAAATTTCACGGGGGAATGCCCCGGACCCCCTACGACAGTGTTGTCTCAATCGGCCCAAATTTCGGCCCCCCCTTCCGGCCCCCCCCTTTTGGACATTTCTGGATCCGCCCCGGCTGCCTCCCCCTCATCCGCTGCCGCCACCCCTGCTAAGTACAGTATAGTATTGTACTATTATAGTAGGGCCTAGGGCATTGAATTGTTTTCATTTCTTTCTGTAATTAAGGCTTAATTCCTACCGCTAAAATAAGTCTAACTAGGCCTACTGTATGTATTATTTCACTCTGTGTAGGCCCTATGAATTGATAATATTCCAGGGATCCTAATTTTTGGAAAGAAAAACCACTCAATTAAGGACAACTTATTTTTTCTTAGATTGGTTGTACCATGAAGGAATTAGTTGTGCAGACTGTATTTTGCTATGCTGTGTGATTACAGACAGCTAGGGCCCACACTTTGTCAAGGAAATTACTACAAAACATAGCTGAAGTTATGCATGACGTCAACATACGAAGCCACGCCCCCTCGGCTGAACCCGTTGTATTTAGTAACTACCATAGAGATAATATAAGAATACTTGAGCGCTAACAGCAATGTATTCGATGTTCGAAATACGCAGAGCTGTGTGTGTGTACCATCCAAGATGGCTGCCATAGGTTCAGCCAATCAAATTTCCCCTGAGCGCTATCATTTTCAATTGCGTCCTCAATTTACACAGAAAGTTCAGTACAGCTAGATTTTGAAACTCGAGCGTTGCGGTGTATGGGTGTAATGTACACGATTTTAATTCTTTTTAATATTTGAATAAGATGTTCTACTTGGCCTCTTTTTGGCTACGACAGTTTAATAATTTGTCATTATCAATACTAATTATCATTATAATGAAATAATATTCAGTCAGAGGGCTTATTTATGGAAATAATATGTATACTAAGCCTGAAGGTGGCGCTTTCCTACGGCAGCCATCTTGGATGGTACACATACACAACTCTGCATTGCTCCGCCATCTTGTCAGCACTCTAGTTGTTTAATAGCTCTATGGTAACTACCCATTTTCTAAACGTCTGGGAAGGGTTAAAGGTAAAAGGTTCTAGGAGTATATTATGTGTCAAAGTTTATGTCATTTTCATAAAATATATCTCATTGGAAGAAATAGAAAAATGCATATAGGCCGAATGAATATTTTGAAAGAAAATGAACTTACGCCCAGCGGTTGTCGAGATACGTATGCCCTATATAATTTTCCCAACTAATTAATTTCCACCTCAGAATAAGCCCTCGGGTAATGTATAGGAAACAAAAGTTAGGACCTACATGTAAAAAAGCCTTAATTATGTTTTAAAAGGATAGTTACAAATAAAGAATTTCCACAAACATATTTATGCCTAACTCATTTACATCACAAAATAAACAAACTAAGCTGCAGAAACATGGGTTGACGTTGAACTTGCGTGAAAGTAGTCTAAAAAATGTGTAATTGTCTCTTAATGTGAACTGCAATAATAAGGTTATATTATACCTCTCGTGAATTGTTTGCTCATAGGATGTTACAGAGTTGAGCATCTTGCAACAATCAATAATATTGTATTGTTACTGTTAGTTAATATAGATCTATCATGTGTTTTCTTGTTTTATATTTTTTGTCTATATTTCATTTCATTATATTATTTCGGACCAACGGACCTTCGCAACAACGACCCTTCGGACCAAAGACCCTTCAGATCAAAGGACCTTCGGAGCAATGCACTGACCACGTTTAAGTCTAGTGATTTTAAGTAAAGTAAAAATATGTAAAATACTGAGCTATATTCTTGTAATTAGATCTCTTACTCTCTATAGTGATTGGGTATTACTATTAGCAAAATGTTGACCCCTGTACATAATTTATTAGCCCAGTACCTTTACTTGAAAATAAACAGGACTTTCGGGCTATGGGACCTCATAGTACATTCCTGTAGCGATAAAGTACTGCAGTGACAATATGCCTGTCTGTCATTACTGACACTTTATTTATTAGGATTCAGTACATAACATTCCTAAAGTATTCTGATGTTATTGTTGTGTATAAACTATAATTTAACTCCTTAAATTTGCTTATAAATTGTTATTAGAGTCTTTCCAGATTTCAACAACAGAGTAGCAATGGTTACCTTTATCTTTATCAGAGCCCATTCGATGCATAAGAGAAACTGTTTCTGAATTTGAAAAATCCATGTTATTGATGATCACACAAAACCCACGTGGTTTGCTGTCCATTTTGTACCTTCCGATTAATACTAAATGGGATTAGAATAAAGATTACTAGCAAAGGTTAAATCTTCATTACTTTCTTTCATTACCTCTTTCTCCATTTCCTCTGCCTTACCAAATTAATGGTGGGTAAGAGTAGAACCACCACGCACACGCTGGCCGAAATACAAGAGGCAAATAACAAGTGTCAATAGATGAGGAGGAATTTCACAGATGGAGAGTCTATACCACCTCAGCCCCACCATCATTGGGGCTGCGAAAATTTATGATTCCAATTCCAGTGGCGGACCGCTTAAATTGTTTAAAAAATATTAAAAATGGAGATATAAAGAAAATTATATTCAAATTTTAAGTCTGGAAGTGCAATTTCCGGCCAACCATGTTATTTGTATATATCCCCAGAAAAGCAACGGCCGACTTTTGGGGCAAAAAGTCTGGGTTGTGTAATGAAGGTACTTAATATTATGAGCGAGTCTTCTATTGTATGGTACATAGAGTAAGGACACATGGACCTCAAGGCAGTTGATAAGAAGATACCAATAAAGGAACATACAAGAAAGTCAGAATAGCCTGCTGTGTATTATTGTCTATAACATATCATTACATGGTGTCAGAAGTAAATCAAAATGAACGGATTAAAACCACCAACTTCTCTTAAAATCACTATGGAGAAAATGGCTGAAGAGTGGAGAAAGTGGAAACAGAAGTTTGAGTTATACATCATAGCCAGCGTATTGGATTGGAGTCAAATTCTCTGGACCTCAAAAGTGCATATAAAACCTGGTCTGGCTACTAGGGTAATAGGCCTCACCCCAAATTTCGGGGTCGAAATCACGTATAACATTCGCTGCTTTATATACCGGAATATATAATACGGTAATAAAATAATATTAAATATACTGTGGGCCTAAAAATAATGATAAATGATGTCTGGTATAGAATTATTTGTGGATTGCTTTTAAATTTGACTTATTTAACTCATTTTGGATCATTTGCTTCTGCCATTAAATCTTAGTTGCTGCAGTATATTATTGTATGCAAACATGATTTCATAGGGAGAAGCTGACCAAAAGATGAGAAAAGCTGAAGCAAATTTGCATTCCTTACCATGAAGGTACCATTAAAAATATATACATCCATGCTTAAACAATAATAACAATTTAAAATAATAATAATAATAATAATAATAATAATAATAACTAGAGATAATATGTTCAATAGAACATGAACCCAGTCATTTTTTAAGAGATAACCACTGTGACTTTTAAGCTCAACCTGGGTGAACACCCCATGTTGGTAGGCTAATGCAATTGGTCAAATCATTAGTCACTAGCAATCAAAATGAAAACTTTTCCTCTATTTGCAACAAAAGCTCATTCAGATAAATTTGACCTACATCTTATGCATGAACGCACCAACCACAGAAAACTCGAAATTCGTAGCTGCTATTGGCCTTATAAGCGTGTGACGTCATTCATAGACAGGGTAAAAGCAATTCTGAATACAAAATTTAAAAAAAAAATGATCAATGGTTATTTAAGCAACTTTACAAGTTTAGCGACCTGTCGTTGCAGATTTATGGTAAAAAAAGCAGGAAGTATACCAAAAAATAAAACACTCTAATTTTAACTTTTTTCCTATGCAAAGTATAAGAGATAGTCAATTTTGAAAGAAAAATGATCACTCAATTTTGAATTAATTGTAAAAATATGTAGATGATTATAATTCTTAAAACATCTAGTTTCATACAGTAATCCAATCACCCGAGATTGCCAAATGAAACCATTCAAATTATATAGTCGAGTTTGTGAGAAAAGGGACTTTCACTGTGTTAAAGTGTGCAGTGAACTGTTCAGTGAGCAGATGTCCTCAAGGTTTCATTATGATTTGATAGTGACCCTTGTTACTTTTGACCTATAGGTGAAGAGTCGTTTTTCATGTTTAGAAGGTCCTAAGGATGATTCCTGGTAAATTCGAGCTCAATTGGACTATTTTGAAAATTTCACCCCGATGACCCCTATGTAACCCTGATCCCAGACTGAGGTGTTTTGAGGTTTTGACCCTAATGCCCCTTATTTGACCTTTGACCCCAAGTTGTGAACAACACATAAATGGGAGGTGGCACCGGTCCTACTGACCAAGTTTTAATCGGTCCAGTAGTTTGCCACTAGTAACCTTTTAAAATGTTGCCAGGAAAGAAAGAAAGAAAGAAGAAACTGCTTGGAAACAGAACCCAGTCAGCAATCAGTTTTCTGGTTAAGATCCTAAACCAATTAGTTCCATATCAGCAGTCAATGATAAGAAGGTGGGTATATTTACTGGGCAGCTGTGCACGTCATGCAGTGGGGCTGAGGTGGTATGGATCCTCCATCTGTGAAAGTACCGCCCTGGGCTCCCTCTATTTTGAATTCCTGGATCCGCCACTGAAAACTGAACACAGACGTCAGTATTGTTCTTTAATCATGATTAAGTCAAGCAATTCGTATTGTTCCACAGGGTACAGTAAAAAGCACTCAAGTTATGTTCTTTGTATCAACTGACAACAGGTCTTGCCCAGTAAAATTCGCTGATGATACGAATGCAATGGCTCTTATTTTATCAGATAAAGACATACATTATCGTAACAAAATAAAAAGGTTTGTTGAATTTTGTAACAATATTTACCTACAAATTAATGCGACATAAACAAAAGAGATGATCATCGACTTTAGGACTAAATATAAAATATTTAAATTTCAACCAATTATCATCAAAGGAAAAAAATAAATAAAATAGTTGATCATTAAATATCTTGGCACTGTTTTAATAATAGATTGAGGGTTGAATAGGGTATAAATTGTATTGCTTTTACTTTTTGGCACACTCAGAAAGTGTACCTGTCCCCTTAATAGGGGTTTGCCGTAGTGTTAAAAGATCCCCTCATTTCAAGGAAAAGTGTCCACTTAATAGGTGTCCGCTGAATAGGGATGTTCCAAAGGAGGGATTCTATTCTCAGTAGAACACCCTATTAAGGGGACACCTTCGGAACCAATACAATTGTGTCCCCGTAATAGGGGTGTCCTCTGAACAGAAGTTAGCCATAATGTTAAATGATATACTATCCCTTCTTCGTGCCTGAAAAATTGTGCCTCAATAGGGGTATCTTCTTAAAAAGGGTGTCCCAAAGGAGGGGTTCTACTTAATACAAAACTACTATCAAGAATCCCAATTATAACTAGGCGGTCTACAGGCGCGAATCTAGACCTTTGCACAGTTTGCAAAGGCAAAGGTCAGGCTGAGATAAAATAATGAAAAAGTATGTCTGCTTGTAAAACAGAACATAGGGCTTTTTCTCATTGCCATTTAACGGTAGACGTCTCAGTCCAAATTATTCCAAAAGCAAATTTCAGGGTCAATTAAATTGCTAAGGTCCAGACCTAAATATCTCTAAAAACTTATCAATGGATCTAAATGAAACTTTCCAGAATGGTTTTTCATGGTCCATTGAAGAAATGATTAAACGTTGGTGATGATCCAAAGCAGGGTGTGGACATGGAGACCTTTTAAATAATTTTATTGAAAGGTGACCAGACTATATAAAAGCAATTTGCGTTTTCTAAAGTGTCTAAACCAGCTGCAGCTAAAATTACAGTGATATTGCATGAACAATTTTCACATTCAAGCACCGAATTATTATGAACTAAAAATGTAGCGTGCAATAGTTGCTGTTCTTCTTGCTCTTCTTGTAGTCGTAGTTGTCGTTATTGCCTTGTTAAGACGGCCTTCCTTTAAAGTACAATCAGGACACTACATTGTGACATGTACCAGTGTTTCAAATTGGTATGGCTGTAGAAAGTCAAGTATTAAAATAAAACGATCAAAGTAATTATTTAAACTTACTCTCTCGTTGGTAGCGTTTTACTTCCTGACTCATGTCTGATCTTTCTAGCTGTTCAGACATTTCCAGTAGGTAGTCCACCTTCTCGGGTCCTATGCAACCTTTCTTCTCAAGGGCATTCATCATTTGGATTTGAAACTTGAGTTTTTCCATAGAACCTCCTAATACACGTCTCGTGTAGCTTTTAAATTGATCAAACTCACTATCACTAATCAAGTATAAGCAATCCAAAACCATCCTTCTATTAAAAAAGTAAAGAAATTATAAATATTGAAATTGATGAAAATAGTATAATTAAATAAATATATCTCATATCTGGAATTCAAGTATAAATTTCACTATCTTAGATTTATATAAAATTGTTATGAAATTTTTAATTATTATCATTATCAGTATATATTATTACAATATTATTATAATTGTGTAAGAGATTATAATCCAATACAGCTTTAATGAAACGTAAGTATTCTTGTACTTCCTGAGTACACAAATAGGCAGGTCTTTCAAACTAAACCAGACGATAATTAATGAAAAACACATTTTAAGAAAAAAACTAGGGATTTAATGGTATACATGTTTTGTGTGTTCTCTCCGACCCATTGTCAATACAAACAGAAAAGCAAAAAGGAAAAAAACTTGCCATTCTTAACTAAGAATCAAGATTTTTAAATTTGGTTAAGTTTTTAGTTTTGTTAAGTTTATTAGCAATTCACTACGGGCGCAATGCAGGTGTAATCCGGTGACGTCAGAGACCGGTCACTTTTCAAAGTTATATTTCCCTACAGGGAAATATAACGTTTTCGATCCTCGTAGCGCTAGTCACGTGATGGCATTTTGACCAATCACGTACTCGTATTTACATAGGCTATGTAATATAAGAGTATATATACTATAAATTAAATGAATATTAATGAGTTAAGCTAAAGTATTACCAATTAAAAGTAACAAACGATCGTTATAGATAATCATATGCAAGGCGTGTGGAAAAAAATCACTACATTAAATGGAACAGTCCAAATCTCAATGTTCAACTCAAACACTTAAGCTTACAAAAATTGGTAATACTTTGGCTTAACTGATTAATATTCATTTAATTTATTGTATGTATACTCTTAGTTAAGAATGGCAAGTTTTTTCGTTTTTGCTTTTCTGTTTGTACTGATGATTGGTCGGAGAGAACACCCAAAACATGTATACCATTAAATCCTTAGTTTTTTTCTTAAAATGTGTTGTGTTTTTCATCAATTTTTGTCCGTTTGGTTCCATTATCAAGGACTTAGTTTAAAAAGTTTGACCTGCCTATTTGTGTACTCAAGAAGTACGAGAAGATATCCTTACGTTTCATTAAAGCTGAATTGGATTTTAATTTCTTCCATAATTGTAAGTCGTTTGGTGTTTTCCCGAAATTATTAAAATTATTATATCATTGTCTCTGGCTCATTGAATAATTAAAATGTAATGGTCATGGAGGTATCTATTGTAGATGAGTAAACAGCAAGCACATTATAAAGAATGTTGTGGCAGTGTCTATTAATTTTATAATTTTTCTAAGAGAAGACAAATTAGTATGAGAAAATTGACAAGGTTTCGTTCTGAACTATTTTTAATTGCTTTGAAACCATTAAAATGTTCGGATTTATTCGGTGTAAACACCTGGATAGCCCACGAAAGTCTAGAAGAAGACTTATTTCCGGTGGGGTCCTTCTGATGGTGATTGGACAGTACACCGGGAGACAATCCCCTACTCTTTTCCGAATAGTGTACTTTGTACTTTAACGTGCACATGGGCCATAATGCACACAGAACCACCAGGGTTCAGCGCACACACAGTGGCTACCACCAGATTAGCCGACCAAGCTAAACTGCTCTCTCGAGCAATAGATGTACCTATTAAAGAATCAAATACAACAAACCTGTAAAGAGATACTATTTTTTTCTTTTCGATTGTTCCACATTTTTCTTCTATTCTGTCAATTAACTCGGTACAATTTATGTAAGACAAAAGCTCAATGAGGAGGTTCAAATTTCCTTTGTTGAGATATACGCGTCGCTGCAGCAAATCAAATAATTGAAGACAGTTCTTACAGTTCTCCAGCGGTCCATACTTAAGTTTAATAGATTTGTCACGGCACAAGTACTTTAAAATAAGTAGTTCTTGTTCTTCAAGATTTTTATCAATATTATAAAGAAGCTTTTGAAATTCATCATCAGTTAGATCTCTTGTTGGTACTCTATCCCTTAGCGCTGCCATAATGGACCTATAAAAATTAGAACACATCATAATTATTTATTCTATTTTCTCAGTTAAAACTTCAATGTTCCACACATATCTTGTTAGTAACTTCGACCTTCTGTAATTGTAACGTCGGTTACCAAGGAATCCCCTATATGATTATAAAGCATATGATATAATTAGAAAAAAAAATATTGTAGCAATGAGTACCCATAATTGACTGACTAATAAATCACAATTGTTAAAATATTTTCATGTATTAAGTTATTAAAATTTCACTAGGTTAACTTTTCCTATAAATGATTGTTATTTCCTAACTAATAACTGTTGTTATTGGAGGGTAACCCAGATGTGTGCCCTGTTTTACACTGGGCCGCCTATCAACACGAAAATGAAACTGCAGAAAACCATAGTGTAGATATTGCTACATTTCAAAAAGCCTATTGAGTGAAAGTAGGTATTTATTATTTCGAGTCAACAGCTTTCTAAATGTATTTGTGAATACACTGTTTACTGGAATTAACTACCAAAATAATGTTAAATAATTGTTTGTTGACCATTCCCACAACTAGACATTGGGACATGAATAATTGATAGCAAGCTATATTCAATGATTTACTGTGACAATAATGTAAATTTTGCTACAAATAGAAAAAAAAATCCAAGATGAGCATATTAGGTGCATAAAAAGAAAATGGCAATAACATATATAATCCTAACATGCACCAAAAAATGTTAAAAAATTAAAAAAAAGTCAACAAAGGTACTATAGGTACACAGAAGACTATACAATAAATAAATAAATAAAACGTTTCTCTTGTTTATTATATACTGTACCTGTTGCCGTTTTATTTTGCTTCCTGATGCAGTTACTAGATCTAACATTATAACACTATGCTTAGCAATATTGAGGGATGAAAGTAGCAACATGAGGACGTAACTCGAAAAATATAGTCCTATAAAGTCATATTACCACCTAAAAATGGAAAATTAGAATAACATTTGGGCATGATCACCTTAAAGACTATAGGTAGGCATAACATCATACCTAGGCCAGCTTTAGGCACAATAAGAATAGTAATAATAATATAATAATACTAATAATAATAAAAATAATAATAATAATAATAATAATAATAATAATAATAATAAGATTTGTAAAATGTATAATACATAGGTCACTAAAAATGTCCATCAGAACATGGACCTATTAATCATGGACCTATTAATAAGATTAATAGGTCCATGATCAGAACACCTCCTTATAATTATAGTAATATATCCTAGGACCACAAACAATTGCATCTTCTTCAAAACTGTGTAAAAATCAGGAGCAGAGCCTGAATTTTTCAAACGAGAGTAAGGGAATGGGGGGGGGGGGATAACAATAATCTCAGAATAGGTAAGTTAGTAGCACATAACATTAATTTGCATTGAAAATTTTAAAATCTAGTGGCAATTGCATTTCTATTCCATTGTACCATTCTCTGGCTGATAAGTACTACAGTAATGCCTTGCTTGAATGGCTATCGGCAGAGGGGTGTAAGATATTATATTGAATAGCTGACCAAAACATTACCAAAAACAGTGATAAATATCATATCTTCATAAGTACTTATCTACATTAACGGGAAAAGCATGAAAATGTTCTAAATCATGAAATACAACATTATTCGCAGCCCACTATATAATTTATGGTATAACATTATAAAATAAATGTGCATCAGTCAAGGATTGCTTATGTGTAGGTGTGAAAACCTAAGAGATTAATCACCAGACAAAGGCTAATCCTTTTTTTCCATTTAGCCATGGATCTCAACCTGCAATGATTGACTCGGACATTCTGACAATTTCTCACTGATTGCAAAATAGAGTAAAGAGAGCTTGTCGGTGCCAGCAAGCATGGAAACGCTGCATCAACCTATATTTATAAAGGTATCTTTTCGTTGAAAAATGTACCTTGTGAGTGGTTGAATCATGTAAAAATGTTTTATAATTATATGTTGTGACGTGAGAAGAACATTATTGAGGTAAAAAAAATACGCCGTGGCTAGATACGGTACCGTATCGGAACTTCCGATTGCTAAAGGTACGGTAAATGATATTACGTCATAATTAGCCAATAGAAATGACCGACGCGATTTTGGCTTTTTTGCAAAGTCGACGTCGCGATCATGAGAAATGTGTGGAGAGAACACTTACGATCAAATTTATGTCATAAAACTTTAGGCCCATTTCATGTATTTCGATTGGGGCTTATCGCAATGTTTGAGTTAAAAACACTTTCTGTTATTCTTGCATATTTTATGGTCTACCATAGAGAATGTTCTACTAAGGCTAGACCTAGCCCGAATACCCGCCTAGGGGCCTATTATAGGCGTACTACTAGGCTAGGCTTAGGCCTACTGTAATGCTACTACAAGGTGTAGAGTCGTTGCGGCCCGGAGTCGATTCGGCCCCGGGTCGTTTTGGCCCTAAGTTGGTATTTTTGTCATGCATTTCGGCAGCGGTGCATGAAGCGCCGAAGGCGCGGCTGCGAATAATAATTTAATAGAACAAGGTGGCTAAGCAGTATACCACATGAAACTTAGGCTATATTACTGCAACATCAGATATTAACAATTCTTTTTAGTAGTATTTTATTATTATTATTATTATTATTATTATTATTACTATTATTATTATTATTAAAGAGTTCATTGCAGTATCAAATGATGTTCTTTTTACAGAAACAACGCAAATGTTGCAAATCGATTGGTTTGCAGACACGTTTCTTTTTTATCGTTTCCATACGATACATATTTGGATCATGTTTATAAATGCTTCAATAAAATTTAGATTTATAAAATAAGTAGCCTTATAGTTAATTTAGCGGATTAGTTTTTTTTTTTTTGTTGCATCTCCATTTACATTACCAAATGTTCTATATATAACAATACATAGGCCAATATAAAATAAATTAAAATATACTGAATGATGTGATAATGAAAATAAAGCAAATATATTATTTTATTCATAAGGCCTACAGAATCACTCATTGCATAGAAATTAACTAAAGAAATTATTAACTACAGTATAATTTGAGGAAAGAAACGTTTTTAACAATTATGTTGAGGTGAAGCAGACACGTGGTTTGTATATTCTTGTTTGTTGTATTTACATTGTCGATACATATTTTGATTTGGCATGTTTATAGAATCTCGTCTATGGTTCCGATTAAAAAAAAAAAATTATTCAACTTTGTTTAAGTTTTAATATTTCATTTACCGTATATGGACAGGGCCCCTGCCGGCAGGAGCCAATCCTGACTGAGATGACTGACAGGGGAACCAAAAATGGGGCCGATCGAAATAACATCGCCTTAATAAAGGGGATGTCCGCGAAATATTTGTTTTCCAGACAGACGCAGCCTCTGAGGCATTTTGGGCAATCAATTTTTTCCCCTTTTTTAACTTTCAGCTAAGGCAGGGGTAGCTAAGGCCTCATGTTAGGCATGGCTTGTACTATTAAAATACTTTCTGCTCGCCTGATGTCGCCAAATCTAGCAAAACTGCTATCCTTTTTAATTGCTATAGGGCCCATATTTTTAGCATCATTAATGAAATGCCCGGTTTAGATCTGGATATAGAGGATCTTTAGTCCTGCATCATCCAGAGGACCAGTACTACTAGTAGTACATGGGTGCAGGTCAACTCAGCCACAAGTCAACTCGGCCACAGTCAACTCGGCCACAAGTCAACTCGGCCACAAGTCAACTCGGCCACAAGTCAACTCGGCCACAAATCAACTCGGCCACAAAAAGTTCGGCTTCAGCCAACTCGGCTACAAGTCATCTCGGCCACAAGTCAACTCGGCCACAAGTTATTTATAATTAAAATGAAATGTAAATGTTACTCAGTTTTTGCATCTTTTTGAAATGTGATTGAAATGAAGTACATAGTATATTATTTTAGTAAAATTCTGATCATCGTCGTCGTGAGATCGTTGTATTCATTTCTTCACACTGTACTCTTATTCGACAGAGAAAACCCGCCAGTTACAAAATGGAATAAAATCTGACAATAATGTAATATTAACAATTTAAGCAATCTTAATAATTAAGAAAAACACATA